CATCACTGCCATCTACCACAAGGAGTGGGTAGGAACATAAGGATCAGTTGGGAGGTAAAGAAATTCCTTGACTTGAAAACTATAAGTTTGGAATTCTAGCACTTTTGCTTCAAGATGAGTAATTTGTGAGGCATCCAAATGAATTTCTCCAGTTTGTGGAAGCAGAAATGCCAACAGTTCTACACAAATTGTCAGAATGTTTCACAATTTCTCTTGAAGTACCTGTCAGAAAATTCTTTTGAGAGAGCACATGGTGGCATTTTTTCTTGCCATAAACAAAAATCTATCTATCCATATGAAGAGTCTGAGGTGTTAAGGAAGAAAACTTGCAGGAAGGTGGTAACATTTAAGAGAAAAGCAAGACCAACTGAAGATCTGGAACAAGTCGGTCCGTAGTCAAGTGTCCCTTGAAATCTAGCGCCAGATTCTCCATCATTTGCACAGTTTGGCCACAGGAAAAAGCAGACTGGAAATGAGATGTGGGATTCAGCCACTTGTCTGGTTGTGTGACCTTTGTAAAGTAGCAATTTCTTTGTGTACTTTTTTGTTCCATATGTGGATCAAATAATATAAAAGTTCTGTGTAAACTCAAACACCACCTAAATTAGCTATTTTTACATAAAATATCATCTAAGAAAAACATTCTATCCATGGAAATCTTCACCGTGACCCCTAATTGCAAGTTCCCTTTTCTTTGAAGACATTTATGACAGTCAATGAATAAAAAATGATGAGTTTCTTAAACCTTGTGTTTTTTGTCTCTGCTAGTAGTGGGTAAGAAATGAACTGGCACTAGACAAATAATTGTATCAACTGCAATTCTTTTAAGTTTCAAGGACAAGCAACATTAGGTCTCAGGATAATGACTGGTCTCATTCAAGGACTTGGACCAGCTAGCAGAGTGTGGATTCTGGTGTCTCAGGCCAAAGCCAGATCTGATCTTAAAATGAGAGGGAAGGTCACTCTTCAGGAGGATGGGAAATAGATTAGATGATTAGATAAATAATACCTGTTCACTAATAGTAGTATTTAACATAGGTAGTTTTAGCTCCTCTGGAGAAGGGATAAGCTACCCATTCCAGTATTCTTGGACTTCCCTTGTGGCACAGCTGGTAAAGAATCCACCTACAATGCTGGAGACCTCGGTTCAGTCCCTGGGTTGGGAAGATTCCCTGGAGAAGGGAAAGGCTACCCACTCCAGTATTCTGGGCTGGAGAATTCCATGGACTCTATAGTCCATGGGGTGGCAAAGAGTTGGACATGACTGAGCGACTTTCACTTCACTTTACAACCATCACCATGAGGTAAGTTTATTAATTCAATTTTTCAAAGTTAAAGAGGCACAGATAAAATAATTTTCCCAAACCCCATGATTCATAAATGGTAGACATATGATTTGAACCCAAGTATCTTGACTCTTGACAGAACTATGTACCACAGCAAGAAACAATAGAACAGCAAACTGAAACATGATAGAATAGATCTGTATGTGCAAATGGAAAAGCTCTTCCAGAACATTGCTGGTACAAAGGGAAGGTGCTAAATAGTATTAAATCTTAAAAACAACACTAACAAAAACAAACTCTGTAAAAATACAAAAGCCCAAAACAAACCTATATATTGGATATAAATATATCTACATATAGGAATTCATATCAAAACATTAACATTGGTTATCACTGAAGAGGGGTGTGGGATGCTGGAGACAGAAAAGAGGGTATCTCAGTTCATACCCTATAATTTACATAGAATCTGAATAACTTAAAAATATGCATTGTAAAGAAATAAACTGGTGGAAAATGAAAAGCAAAATACTTAGATGCCCAAAATTAAAGATGAAAATTTAAAGTTGCTTCTAAAAATATGTATTATAAAGAAATAACGTGATGGAGGGAAAAAGGAAAAAGCAAAATGCCTAGATGCCAAAAATCAAATATGAAAATTGAAAGTTCTGAATCACTCCTTCATCTTCATTTTGTCATCACTTAAGGATATGGATAGTTTTCACTAGTTTTCACCTCCTTTCCCAATTGGGGAGAGAATGTAGCACATGCTTTTCTCAAAAATAGTGTGGATAAGGGAACTTTTTCAGAATATATGTGTATTCATGGTTCATATATATCCCCCTAAGTCCTGTGTGATCTTTAAAAAATATCCTAATTACAAACTATTTCAAGTATGCTAAAATCTGGAGTAAAACTTGTTTTCAAACCAGTTTGTAAGAGAAATGACTACAAATGCAATTGATTCTTTCTATAAATTTCCCCAATCCAGTCTTCATTGCTTGATTCCCACTAGCAAACGTGTATTCTATTTTTTCTGTATTTATAGCCATAATACATAGTATCATTTTGCATTTTTTTTATTTTATATAACTGGCATCATAAAACAAGCATTGTTCCACAACTTTTCTTCCTCATTATTTTTGAGATGTATCCATGTTGATATGCATAACAACTATTCATTTTGACTGTTGTATAGAAATCTATTTTATGAATATACTATCAGTGTTGAGTGCCAGTTAGAATTCATTTCTGTTACTTATGTCTAAGGCTGCCATGAACATTTTTATGTCTCAAGCACACACATAGCACTTCTCAGGTGGAGCTAGTGTTAAAGAACCTGTGTGTCAATGCAGGAGACATAAGAGATGCGGGTTCGATCCCTGGGTTGGGAAGATCCCCTGGAGGAAGGTATGGCAACCTACTCCAATATTCTTGCCTGGAGAATCCCATGGACAGAGGAGCCTGGTGGGCTACAGTCCATAGGGTTGCAAATAATTGGACATGACTGAGCAACTTGGCATGCACACAAGCACACACATAAGTACTTCCTTAAGGTAACATGGTAAGAGATCTTTAATTTTATTAAATATTGCACATTTGATGGTTGTGCCAGTTTACTTTGCCACCAACAGTTTAAAAAAGTCTTTATTACTTCATTGTCCTTGACAATACTTGCTATTTTGAAACTTATATTTTGGGTGTGATGTGGTACACTTCCTTGGGTTTGTAACTTGTGTTTCCTTGATTATTAGTGCAGAGTATTTTTTCCATATGTTTATTAGCCTTTCAGATTTCCTCTTGTAAGAAATACCTTTGTTTTCAGGATGTGCATATTTCTATTGGGTAGTAGTTTCATGAATCTTAGGGATTTTTACATTTTTATAAATTAATCCTTATATACAATAAATACTCTGTAGGTTATTTTTTCACTTTTATAGTACTTAATGTACACATACATTTTAATATTTACAAATATATCTCTTTTATGACTGTGCCTTTGTCTTATTTAAATAATTTTCCTATTCTGAGGTCTGAAAAATGTTGAATATATTCATTTAAGTTTTAAAATCTTAATCTCAATACTTTAACTCAAATATATTTGTTCATAGTTTGAGGTACGAATCCAAATTTATTGTTTTCCAAGAGGATAATCAAACACAATTTTTCAAAAAAGTCACTCCTTTCCCTATTGGTTTATAATGATGTAACAGGTCTCCATATATGTAGGTCTCTTCAAGTCTGATTCAAGGTAATAGCAGCAGTATTTAACTTAATGTGTACTTTCCCTGTGTCAGAAACTCTGCCAAGCATGTTATGCATTTTGAAGTTAGAATGTGTGGGCTTATATACACTAGTTATGGTGGTGGTAGTGGTTTTTGGAGTTTGAACATGTGGGCTTATGTATACTAGAGAGCCCTGATAAATGTACGGTCTCAGTATAATGTTTACTGGCTGATGGAGATGAAATCAGGTGAAGTGTAGAAATATCTGATTGACACACACTACATTTAAAAAAGCATCCCAGATATGTAACTTGCTTTTATTAAACAGGGGAAAAATCAACATATTTTCCAAAGAGGCAGATATCCCAGTAACTAACATAACATCAGTTTGTTTGACAAGGCATTTAGAATAAGCAAGCAATTCAACTCTCCAGGCAGGAACCAGAACATCAACAAGCTCCAGACCCCAGGATCGTGATAAGCCAATAGGCTAGGCATTGTTTTGCTTAACAATTTTAGCTTTAATGTAAATATATATTATTTAGAATATTAGCTTCTGAACTACATAATGACTTTATCACTTTAATTAAAACCAGGATTTCTGAAACCTCCAAGTAATCTTTAAAGTTTTCCAGTATGGACATAAACTAACCCCTATTCTTCTCTACATATAGAATTTGAAATAACTGTCACAATATATCAACATTTTCACAGGAAGATTTTTAAGGCTTCTGGCACATAAAATGTGTAAAATCTGTGTGACAATAATGTTATAATTATATACAGAAAATATTTAAAATTCTCCTTGAGCAATTTAAGTTCTAAAGATGAAAAGACGTAAGTGTCCATGTTAATAAAATATTAAAATACTATGAGCTTTTCCATAAACTTGACACTGATTTTGTAATTACATAAAGAATGTGCAAGATAAGACCTGCACACTAAGTGATTAGTCATTGAAATTAACTGTTAAACTGAATATACTTATTGATATCATTAGTTTTCTAGATCAAACTTTCAGCACAGGCTTTAATATAACTTAAAAACATTTCCAATTAAACTGTAACATTGAGGCAGCAAATGTCAGATCTATGTTTGCCTAGCTATTTAGGTGTCATATAAATAAGTCTATGAATCCTAATTTATCCTTTTGTCTAAGTCACCATTGTAGATAATGTATTAATAAGTGAAAAATAAGTGAAATCAACAAAAAGTGACTATTTCTCATTTGAAAAAATGAGTTATCAACACCTTGTCTTAAAGTTCTAAAGCAGCATATTCAGTTCTTAAGGCAAAAAAGGCCAAACTTATTATTATAAATTATAAATTCTGGTAATTCTTCTTTTGGCATTAAAAGTCACAGCACAAATTCTTATGCTTTAATAGATAATATATTAGTGTATATCTGAATATACATTTGCTAACATTCTCCATCAGTATGAAGTTGTTCTGTGCAGTAGAGGCGGTGAAGTGAGGCATGGCAGGGCAACATTTAACAGTTACCCGGGGCATCAAGGGACATAGAATGGCTGAGTCTTGATTTTCCATTCACATATATTGTATTTGGTTGAACTGTAACCTAAGAGAAAGAAACACACTTTGCAGCCATCAATGTAAAACTGGACAGCTGCCTAATTTTGAATTTTCATCAATTACCAACATTTTAATTTCTGCTTAATTGTAAATACTAACATTTAATGTTATTCAATAAATTTCAAATAATCCAGAATAAATGTTCATTCTACCATGAAATTAAAAATTAGTTATTTCCACAACAAACAAGTTAAATAATCCATTAACACATCTTAGTCTTTACAAAATTACCAAATCAACTCAAAGGACAAGAGCATAAACAGACTGCAGGCCAAGCTGTTAAAGCGCATTTTTAGCTAGATTAATTCTGGTTCCCTCAAAGTACCTTGGAGAATGTAGAAAAACATAGTGAATCCCACAGAGCAATGAATTCTGTAATTTTCATATTGATGATATTAACTTGAAGTTACTCTCTCCCAGGTACCCCTTATTTATAAGAAAAAATAGCTTTGGTTTTTAAAAATGCCTTCATTTGAAGGGCTAAAAATGTCAAACCTGTGACTGTTCTGCCAAAACTGCAAATACATTCCTAAGTTCCAAAATTCTATGGCAGAGTTTCCTATTTACAAGCTGTAAGTAAACAAAAAACACTAAAACAAAATTTCCTAAATAGCTTGAAATTCCAACATTATTTATAAGCATGTAGAAGAAAATTATCTGGATTCTACATAATAAGCAGGTACAGTATTTTAAAATATTCCATGTAAAATATACCAATATTTTAAGAAAAATGATTTATCTCTTGATTATAATTTGACTAGCTTAGCTTCCTTACCAAACATTATCCTCTTCTCCCAAGCAGAGGACTGAAGTACAAAAGGCCAGATTCTGCCTAGCAACAGAGTAAGTGAGTGGCAAGGAAAATAAAATTGGCAAATTTAGCTGGCTTTGGTTTCCTGGTGCTTCATTTCTTGCCTTTTACTAAACAAAGATAAGTAATCCAAACTAATCAATTTTCTTGACTACCTTAGGAACCCAGGACGGAGTAGAATGGTTGACCACCATCCACCTGAAACAGAACAGCTAAGGAGAAAAAGTGGCCACCAGAGGAAGAACACTTGTCTGCATCCTTTTCAGGACTCATGTGGGATTACTTTCCAGGTACAGCCAACAGACAGGTAATGGCTTTTTGCTATGCGGTCTTGGGCTGAAAAATCTGAGTGTGAGGGGTTATTTTTGTAATTCTTGCCAAAACTGCAGTTCTCACATTCTTTGTAAAGTAAAAGAAACTTTGGTTTAAGCATTTAAAAAAGATACAGATGGTTTTAAATATCTACAAGTAAAGATGCTCATTGTAACATCATTTATAGGGTAAAAAACTAGAATCCAGTTAAATGTCTACCAACAAGGAGCAAATAAGCTATGGTTCTTTCACACAAATTCTGTGTAGTCTTTTTTTTTTTTTGGCTGCACTGTAAAGCTTCTGGGAGTAGGAAATGGCAACCCATTCTTGTATTCTTGCCTGGGAAGTCCCATGGACAGAGGAGTCTGGCAGGCTACAGTTCATAGGGTCACAAAGAATCCAACACGACTGAGCAACTGAGCACAAAAACACATATATATGTCTTAACATCAAACACATTTTATAAAATACTGTGCTGGATGTAGTAATGCTTTATATGAAGACAAGACAAATCACCATGATTATATGCAGGTTGAGATGGGGGTAAGGTACAGGGAAAAAAAAGCCTTCAGAAACATGAAAATTCATGACTACATTTACACTAGAGCTATCAACTGGATAATTGTTCTAATGTGAACCAACTATATAATGAAGGTTAATTGCTCAAGTATGAACAAGAGCCACAAGGCAGGTTGGTACCTGGAATTAAAGTGAACATTTGGTGCCAAAATACAGGCACACACAGAGCCAGCTTTCTGATGAACAGTCTAAACCCACTGTCAAAATCACTGAGGATTTTGTTTGGCACCATAACTGTTGTTCTATAAAAGAAATGTTAGAATTTAAAACAAACCAAGAGAAATGTTCAGAACAGCACAGAAATATGGGACTTAAGCATAAGAAAGAAATTAGCGTAAGAAAGGAAAAAAGTGTAAGAAATTAGAGCCTTGTGTCTATCTCTACCACCTTCTGCAATTTTTTGAAATATAATATGTGTACAGAGATGTTCATTGAACAGTGCAATGAAAACAGACATATATGTAGCCCACCACCCAGGTTAAGAGAAAGAATACCTCCAGCTCCCTCCTGATCTTGTTTTTATTTAAAATTTTGACTTTATCATGGATTTTTGCATTAATTTTTATATTTAAAAATATTGCATTAAGATATATTTAGCTTGAAAAAAAGAAAATACAGTATTTATCTTCATTACTAATTTTTTTGGTTCCCTCTTAAATTGTGTCCCAGTCTTGTTCCAATAAACCTCTAACAACCCTTTTTCTTCCCCTCTGGAAGTAACCCTATTGTGACTTTTGTAATTACTTCCCAACTTTTAGGAATAATTGCCACCTATGCATGTATCACTATATAATTTAGTTTTGCATGCCGTCAACTTTACACATATCTTTTATTTATGTCTCTATCTACATTGTTATCTTTAGTATATTTTATCCAATTTATTGCCATTTGATAGTCCATGCTTTAAATATACCACTATGTATTCTACCATTTTTGATATTAAGGTTATATGTATTTGGAGCTATTACAAACAGTATTCTTGAGTCTTGGCACATAGAAACACATTTTTAGCATATATAACTAGAAGTGAAGATGCTAATCATGGCAGATAGATACCATAAACTCCACTAGACCCTGTGTCTGTCTTTAGAGGAAGAAAAGGGATTAAGTAAGGGATTTTCATTAAACAGAATTTAGGAGCTGGCACTGTAGAGTCAGAGCTATCAAAACCTCCTACTGAAAGAGATAAAATTTAGATTCAATAGAACCTAAAGTAATGAGTAATAAATAGGATACAATTATAGGATCATCATTTAGGGCCTGCTTTCTGTGTTGATTCACATCCAGCTCGTTCTGGAAGCAATGAGAGCTTTATCTGTGAAGAGACTGCCAAATCAGGGCCCATAACACACCAAGTATACAGCTGCCTGCCTGTATGATTTTGTTGGCCTAAAAGGCATTTCCAACTTAATGCACTATTTTCTGCAATTAGTTCATTGAAACTGATTATTAATAACACATCCACTGACTTAAACAAAGACACTGCAGTTATTTTCTGTTCTGCCGTGAGCCTGAGGAACCACTGTTCTCAGTCCCTGGCTCTGAACACCCAGAAGGCAGAGGCTTCATTTGACTCAGTTTTGTATCCTCAGTATCTAGTACAGTGTTTGGTATTTATCTGTTTTTAAAAAATGCCTATCAAATTTACTGAACTGAGAACTTTGAAACTCTATCCTTAATTTATAAGAGTTGAAACAGGATTAGAAATAGAATTATTTTCATGAATGAGAATGTATAATTTATTTACAGGAACATATTTCCCCCCAAAAGTATAAATGTCATGACCTGCGAAATACCAATTTCAATATTCCTTTTTTGCTGCTGTTGTTTGCTGCCTGGGACCTAAACTCAATTGATGAAATTCAGACCTACCCCCCTGAATTATTCCTTTATGTCTCCTCCACTCCTGACAGCACACAATATTTTGCCTTCTCGCCGTGTGCCCAGATGGGAATGCTAAGTCCTCTGGGCAAATGGCAGCCACCCAGGGCTCCCCTGAAACCCGCTAGGAAGCTGACTGACACTCATGAATGCCTCCCGCCTTTTCTATCTGCCGCATTCCTGTTCCTTCGCAAATTTCATTTTTGTTGAGTTCAGTGATTTGCTCAACAAGTCTCTTACTCTTCTCTAAATAGCTTCTAAAATGATTAGAAAAGCAATTCACAAAATGAAATGCCTAGGGAGTCAGTGAAATAATGAGTACTTTTCTTGTCTTGGTGTTGAGGAACTTGCAACCAAGATGACTAAGCGAAGAACAAGAAAGACATTTAGGGAGACTGCAGCCTCTGAGAAGTCCAAGTCATGATGCCAGGCTACATCCTGTTTCAGAGGATGAGGGCGACAAAGAAGAAACTCATCTGTGATAACAACCTGTGATGCTTTCTGCTGTTTACCCGAGAACAGAGTGCATCACCTCGCTCTCTCACATGTCAGTAGAAGCTAGACTCTGGCAGTGCATTATTAAAACTTGAATTTCTGCATTAGGTCTCATCTAAATTCCCTAGACTTCCCCTACATTTTTTTTAGTTTAGCCTGTAAAACTCCTCCCCCTTAACCAGCCAATCAGTATGGTAGTAACTGATTACTGTAGGAGCCAGGGCTGAAAACGTGCAGGCTCTTACAATAGCGCAGCTCTTCTGGAGTAAAGGAGGGACTTTCTTTCCAAAAGACTCTTTCTTGCTGTGCTAACACAGTTTCTTAAAATAAGAGTCCAGGGCACTTTCTATATATAGTTATATAATAATGAGCAAAACTTGCTTTCTGCACCTGGCCCATGTTTTGGAAAATAGACCTGACATAGTTTTAAGGATGTGTAACACTCTGGGCTCTCTCAGCTTATACTTCAAAAATGACCCTTGACATAAAGGAGGAACTTCTGGCATCTTCCCTATTCAGATTTAAAAGCCAGAAAACAATTTCCCCTAAGTATTAGTTTGACACTGTTGAAAATAAACCCAGTGTCACCCATCTGATAAAGAAAACTTACCCTTTTCAATTTGGCAGCAGCCTCTCCAGAACGAATTGCAGTCAGCAAACTCTGTCGGATCTGTTCTGGGTCAGAGCTTTGGAATGTCGAAGAACTTTGTCTCTTAAGAGTGAACGACGGGCAGTCAGTTGGAGATGGTATTTGAGGATTCTGTTCATTATGTGCAGAGTTATTTTCCTATAAAAATAAATGTGAAAGTTATATGAATACTAGGTGAAGAATGGGCCAATGTTCAAAACACTTTCATCATCAATAGCTCTTTAAGAACCCCCATTTGCTACACTGGTGTTTTAAACTATTTCCTCATCCACTGAGTTATCTCTGATGTCAGGCTCAGCTGGAAGATAAGGGCCTTACTTTCCCTCATTTTGAACTCAGGAGGCTAAGGAAGAAAAATGATATGTCTCTTTGTTTCACAAATGCAGTGGTAATTTTACTGTCCTTGAGTAAATGAAATAATGCTGATTTCTCCAATAGAGTCGGTTAGAAGAGACAAAGTAATAATAAAAATCCACAGACTTAAAAAAACAAAAACAAGCCCATTTTCATAGTTCCAATATATTAGTATTATGAAGTTATTTTTGATGGTACAAATGGACATATATTGGCAATTTCATACTGGTTGAACCTAACACATCTAATGAAGGAGTATTAATAACTATGTAATAGCTTATTTTGTCTTTCTGGAAGTCACTGGGACAAAGTGATGCCCATGTTTTATTTTTCCCATGAGACTGAAAATAAATATTAGAAATTTAAGAATCAAAATTTTAATTAAACTTCTTAGAAAGGAATATTTAGTAACTGATTTCACTGGCAACTGTATTCAAACAATCTTAAAAATGTCTTTTTCAAACTGCCAAATAAATATCTTTATAAAAGATGAGTTAAACAGAACTCAGGCAATGGCTCAGAAACTGTATTATCTAAATCAAGCTTCTGTTGTTTAGAAATGGTATTCCATTCCAAGAAAAAAAAACACAGGCTTTGCTCCCAAGTAAAGAATTAATCTCTAGATCATATATCTCTTCCTGATATGATATCAAAGTAATAAACATAAATGCAAAATATAAAGAAATATTTTTCAAGGTAAATATTGCTTTAAATTATGGAAAAATCTTTACTTGGCAACATGGTTAATGTTCTGTTACTCTGGGAGTGTTTGAAAAAATAGCATAAAAATACTTCTGGAACTGTCATACAAATATGAAAGTATTCTTTAAACACTATCAGAAAAAGTACACAATGTATTTTTTTAAATTGCATGGGGATTATCATAACTCATACTGTGAATTGCATCCTCTCACTCTACTACTTGAATCTAGCAAATTATATCATTTAGTTGATCCAACATGAAGTCAACAAATTCTCCTTTTTGTACATCACTAAGGTTAGATGGTGGTTAAGTGATATTTTGGTCAACATACATATAACTGGAAAGTTGACACTAAATTAACAAAAGGGGAAATTTAGAAAATCACATATTTAAACTGATTTTAATTTAAATTATATATAACAATATTTGGTAAGCTCAGGTTGAGTGTATATGATAGAAAGTGCAGAGCTGAGATATGTTTGCTTATTTTATCTAGTCTTTGATGCTGCTTATGCTTTTCTATAATTAAAACAATTTATTTTGCTATTATGGAAAACTGAAGAAAATAAAATAAATGAGAACATCCAGGAAAGTTTTCAACTTGAGAAAAGCAAAATACAGAAAACTATTCAGAACTATAGTACACTATACAAATGTATGAGCAAGGAAACTTTAAATATTTGCTAATGAGGTGATTATATAATGACCTTATAGTAATAGCTGATTAAATTATATGAATTATAATGACTGAGAGTAAATAATCAGATTCTATTTATTACTACTCATTTTTTCCTCCCTACAGCATCTTCATTGTAGATTATGAATTAAGTAACACACATGGTTGTTAAACCCATTTAAGTCATGTTGTATAAGAATCCCCTATTTTAGAAAAGGTCACATTTACCTTATCACTCACACCTAGTTGTGGCATGTTCCCAAATGTATTTACAGAAGGGATCTTCCCTTTCTCTGCATCAGTTGGAGTTCTGGCAGAGGCACCCTGGACCTCCTCACTGCATGACTCTGTAGGGCTTTTGCTGAAAGACTGTGACCGTTTCACCACAGCGAGGGCAAACGGTGAAGGAGCAGAACTGGAGTATGGTCGTGGGGCACCAAAAGTTTTCAGAGTTTGCAGATTTAGTGTTGCTAACTGACTCTTGGGAAGAGGAACAGGTTTGGAGGCCACGGGAGGAGGGGGGAGGGGAGAGGTCACGGGAGGAGGGGGAAGGGGAAAGGCCACGGGGGGAGGGGGAGAGGCCACGGGAGGAGGGGGGAGGGGAGAGGTCACGGGAGGAGGGGGAAGGGGAGAGGTCACGGGAGGAGGGGGAAGGGGAAAGGCCACGGGGGGAGGGGGAGAGGCCACGGGAGGAGGGGGGAGGGGAAAGGCCACGGGGGGAGGGGGGAGGGGAGAGGTCACGGGAGGAGGGGGAAGGGGAGAGGTCACGGGAGGAGGGGGAAGGGGAAAGGCCACGGGGGGAGGGGGAGAGGCCACGGGAGGAGGGGGGAGGGGAGAGGTCACGGGAGGAGGGGGAAGGGGAAAGGCCACGGGGGGAGGGGGAGAGGTCACGGGGGGAGGGGGAAGGGGAGAGGCCACGGGGGGAGGGGGGAGGGGAGAGGTCACGGGGGGAGGAGAGGTTTCAGTAGGCTTCTGGTTGCTATCATCATCAGTGTTTTGAACGTGTGGCTGTGGAAAAGATTGAATAGTTTTACTTAAGGGAGAAAGAGCTGGCTCTGGAGGAGGTATTGTATCTCTTTCCACCTCTTTCTTTATTAATTCCTTTGGAGTAGGATTAGAGGCAGCATGAACACTCTTGGCGGCTGCAGATGACACATAGTGATCTGAAACTCTTTTTTGCATCTGCAAGAAAAAAGGACTTGGTTTGGAGTGGGGATTTGAAACTCGCAATTTAAATTTTGATTCCAAAATATTGTTTATATCTTCCAATTTGGGCGCAAAAGGAGCTGTGCCAGTGTCACTCATCATTCTGGGAGGTTTCAGAGGATTCACCACTCTGCTGCGGGTAAAGCTCTCCTCACTTTGCATCTGATGCTCTGTTCTCAGGGTAGGCTTTGATTTCAGGTCTGCTTGTGACTCCTTTGGGCTTTCAGAAATGACGAGATCTTCTGTTTGGATTGTAGTTTCTTTCACATTCTCATAAGTGTCCCTTTTCCCTAAAGTGTATATCTCCTGATCATTTTTATACCCTATGGTTTCCGATTCCCACTCTTTTGATATTTCTAGGGATCGGGGAGGCACTATTTTATAAGTAGTCATCCCAATTTTGGGTATGTACTCTCTTGTAATTTCATTTGAAGGTTTTGGTTTGGGATTATAATCTTGTCTGTAAAATGGATAATTCTTTACATAAGAAGCTGTCGAATTTTTATCAGTTCCATCTATAGGAGGCAAAAGATTGTCATTACCATGTGCACAAGTTGGATCTTTTATGGTGAGTTGCTCTTCTGTATGTACAACAAGGGGGCCCTGACTCCTGAATTCTCCTGAGATATCTATAGAATCTTGTGGGCTTAAAGATGAGCTTTGAGTTGATTTGTTGTTACTTGAAGTTTGCACACTTTCATCAACTTTGACGTCAGACAAATTCTGATCTTGCTGACCCCCATAAAAACTGTCACAGGAAGGGATTGTCTGAATTGCTGCATCTTGCATTTTTGTCTTTTCTGCAGTGGGTTGAATCAGGTTTTGATCTGGTGCTGATGAAACAGCAAGATGATTTTCTTTGTAACGTTCAGCAGTATCAGTTTTATATGCCTGATAATTTGATAGTCTGTCAACTTCTGTGTCCACATTGTTATTTTGGGCAACATCTGCTACATTGATTTCTGTTCTCACTCCATTTTTCATATTATTTTCTGTGTTTGTTGGAATGACAATTATTTCATGTTGATCTACTGAGAGAAAAAATATAAAGTATATGAAAAAAATAGAAAAGCGCAAGTTTTCAGTACCCACCCTACCCCAAAGTGAACAGGTTGATTTGAATTCTACAGATAAATATTCAGCTCACCAATTATACAGTAATTATACAGGTAATGGCATACAGAGAAAGTGGCATGGACTTTGGGATCATAGAGACCTGAGTCAGGAATCCAGCTTGACTAATTACAATCTGTATGGGCCACATCATGTTACTCACCCCATTTGAGCCTCAGATGTCAAAAACAAAACTATGTATTATATATCACTTATGTAACATGCTTATTAGGACACTGTATTGCCCAAAACAAGTACTCATAGAAGATAGCTATGATTTTAAGTAAAGACCATATCTCAGTCATTGTTAAGAATGACAAAAAGATACTGACAAATTTTAAAAAGTGTTTTTGTTCTGTTTTTTCCATTCTGATTCTGTCTTTTCTATAATCCCTAGTATATTTATATTTCATACTTAGCATTTGTTAGGATTGCTTCCTTTTTAATGTTATCAGTTTTAATTACGAAAGACCACAAAACCTTACCTCTAAGAGCTGAAAGAAAAACAACCTAAGTTTATTGTCTCTCTAATTAGGTGTCCTTGCTAAATACTTTTAGAGGATTTTGTTTTCGGTCACAATATGGGTGGTTTCAACTACACTGAAAACAACCAGGTGGGTTTTTATTTTTTTCTCTGTGAGAAAAGATAATTTTTCTCGTGTCAGAATCCAGGTAGAGAAAACAAACTTCCCTCTCCCAACACTACTTTCCTCTTCATTTTAATTCAGACCTCCTGAAGACAAAAATCATTTGCCAGTGTCTAGGTTAACAAAGCAACAGTTGCCAGCCAACAACGTGATGGCAGAGTTGGAATGCGGCATCTGGAAGGAAACAGAGGCTTATGAATGTGCACCGTGTGTCTTGTACTGAGCCAAGTGATTTATGTATACTGTGCTCCTCTAGTCAAGCACCATGAAGAATCACTTCTTCCAAATAACCAGCTAGCCCTCTTCTTCAAAATCCTCGGTGGCCTCTCCTTTCAGATATGACAGTTTGCACAACACAAGTGAAATGTGGGCCTTGGAAATCAAATTGTGAAAAAATGTCAAGTATTTCTCTATAGTTTTATAATCACTCACTTTCACCTATAAGATAAAGTTCACCGTCTAAAATATAAAATGGATCCTCTGTGAAAAATGAAAAAAGGAGCCTAAATGTATTTCCTTTTCTCTTGCTTATTTCTCATTTTCCACTGAATATAGATATACCCCAGTTACAGAATGGAAACACTTTCTAAAAGAAGGTAAGTCATTATAAAAATATATTTTAAATGAAATTCCCTATAATCCTAATTTATTGGTTTTAGAACTTCTTCACATTTTCTGTGGGTTATAATTACTTGACTATTATCTACTGAATTTCTCACCAAAATTTCAAAAATTTCAGTGATTGTCAGGCCTGGAAACCTAGAATCACTACTGAATTCATTAGCTTGTCCATCCTACTGTATATATGCTGATAAGGTAAACAAAATGTCAATGAATAGACAGGCTAGTTTTCAAGAATGGCCAGTAGAGGGAGAAGGTATATTTTGTACTATACTATACTTTCCCCTACTCAAAACTGACACGAACATCAACCACCTGATGAAACGATCATTTAGATAAGTGCACTGTTTAGGTTTAAAGAAAAAAGGAGAAAAGCAGAATAAAATTAGTTCTAAGGATAACAAATTATTTTAAAAACCACCCAGAGTTGACAATGGTCATTGTAAATCAAGTGCAAATCAAAATAAGTATATTGCAGAAATGTGCTTGGGACCCTAATACTAATATGATACCCAGATCTTTGCAAAAATAATTTAATTTTACTATGATTTTAAACAGTAAGCAGCTTTTAAATCACATCTTCTCAATAGAAATGCTATTGCCATCATAATATATGTTGTTAAAAAGCTGTGTCAGGAAGAAAAAAGGGGAAAATTATATAGAAGTATATAAGTTGTACACTTGTATCTCAGGTTAGTGACCATAAGGAAAATGAATCATTCATATTCAAATTAACCAACACATACCACATATATAAAATGACATATCTATATACATCTGTCTATCTTGTTTGTGACATTGAGATAATCCAATACCTATTGGATTTATATACATATCTATATATTCCGGAGAAGGCAATGGCAACCCACGCCAGTATTCTTGCCTGGAGAATCCCAGGGACCGGAGCCTGGTGGGCTGCCGTCTATGGGGTCGCAGAGAGTCGGACACAACTGATGTGACTTAGCAGCAGCAGCATATATATATATCTATGTTTTCTATGGATCTTAACCTAGTTTTATGTACTAACATAATAGATTGGACTTCAGAATAAGCCATTTCCTTCATATTCCCTTAAAATACCTTTGTGTATTCACTGCATTTCTGATTTGTATAGTATCATTTTTCTGAAATTCAATCCTAACTATATATTTTAACTGTTATCTCAGTATTCTGCTAGGTTCCATAAGGAATTCAAACAGAGTATCAGATATAATTCCTCTGATCGAAGACTGTCCAATCTAGCCAAGTAGTCGAGACACAAAACTACATGGCTTCAAGCAGTCAAGCAACAGAATAAGTGAAGTGGCAGGATTTGGATAATAGTTGAATGGGTAAAGATTATTTTTCAGACAAAGATAATAGTAAAATAACCATAGGCCTAATGATAGATCTGAGTGAAATACATACATCATGAGAAAGAATAAACTACCTTGATTTGGAGGTATGGGGGGAGGAGTGGGAAATACTGGTAAACTTTATTACATGATTAGATGGCTTGAGCCTGAAATATCAGGCAGACAAGTTTTACCCAAGGTATATCAACTTGACATGAAATAAAACAGGCTTGAGTTAGGGAGTCAGAAGAAGGAAAAAGGTGAAGTAGATCATAAGTATGCAGAGAGTATACATGGGTAAGACCCAGAACTAAGTTAGATAACCTCTAAGGTTTAACAGCAACAACATCATAACACATCGTAGTGAGACCAAATTTTGGAATCAACACATACTGAACACATACTTCCTGAGTTCAAATCTGAGGTCTACCACTTACTGTGGGACCTCAGGTGAGTCATGTAATATCTTTGCGGATCAATCATCTGTAAACTGGGACTAAAATAACAATGCCCATAAATGAGTTAATATACAAGATTAAATGAGCTAACATAAAGTGTTTAAGAAAGGTCCTTGGCACATAGTATGTGCTATGAAAGTTGTTAGTTGTTAGTGCTTATGGAACTCACCTTTCTCTTGGTTTGGGTCCAGTGACTTCAGGTTTCTTACACTGTCAACTACCCTCTCTTTGTCGCTTGAATTACATACCATAATGTGTGGCCTTCTGTAAAAATGATACTGTATATTATATATGATACTATTCAAACACACACTCACACAACAGTAAAACAGGCAATAATTTCCAAAGACAGACTGGAATAATCATCTTTTTCTGCCAAATACTAGAAATTTAATAGCAAAGAAAAAATACAGCTAAGAGGAAATGGTGCTAATGAAACATTAGCTTTCATATGTGGCCCTGTAACAAAGCAAGATCTTAGAAACTTGGTAAGATGGACAGTTTCCCCAAGAGAGTATCTTTTTGTTATTATCAATTATTATCTTTTAAAGATGAAGGAGCTAAATGAAATTTACTTTCATAGACATTTCCCTTACATCTGGCAAGGTCACCTTGTGGCAAGTCAGAATGTGAATTAACTTCACTGGGTTTTTTTTTTTTTTTTAATGATAGAGGAGTTTCATTTGGAGACAATCTCATGCAAATTATAGTAAAACTTTGATAAAATGGTTTATTTTACATTCTTGATTTCATCTTTATTCATAGTGTGGTATTTCTAACAGAATGTAAGTGTACTTTACTATAACTTTCTATTTCTAGAACCAAGGGGAAAGTGCATTCTCTGCTTCACAAAATTGACTGTAAAAATGATTAGTGGCTTAACATCATATTCTAATATGCAGAATTGCTTTATAAACCAGTCAGTAAAAATTCTTTAGGAGTATTTGGTGAAAATTGAGATTAAATATTTCATTTAGGCCAAATAGGTAACAGGCAAAACAAACACAACACAAACAAAAATGCTAATAATATTCATACAGAATAACTACATGTTATGGTTTATCTGCCACAGGGACACCAAAACCATTGGATTTGATTTTATTTAAAACCAATCACATGTAAATAGATGAATAACATTTTTTTAATGATGGTAAAAGGGATAAAGTATAAACTAAAGAAATGACTTCACTTGTGTTTAAAATATCATTTCTGTATTTCAGAAGACTACTATCAATTAAACAAAGCACCACTTCCACTTCTGGCATACAGACTACTTACTGTTCATCTGTGTTTCTAGTTCCTTGTTTTTCTTTGGAGTTTTGTGAGGACTCTCCAGTAGCACTGCCAGGGGCTGAGTCAGGATCATTTTTCAGTGTATTTATTATATCCGTAGATACAGTAGGAATGTCTTGTGACTTCAGAGAAGTATTTTCAGCCTCATCTTTAGGCATTTCACTCAGTTCTTCCTTTTCATCTATCTCTTCAAGGCTATAATCAGAGCTTATTCCAGCTACAAAGAAATGAAGATATAATCCTAAATATTAATTTGTCTCATTCATCCTATGCAATTCTGGCAAGGAAGGAATTTTTAAAATAATAGTTGGACTCTTGTAAATTCTGATTCAAAGCTAATAGTAAAATACTTGTCTAATGGTGAATAATTATGTTAATGTATAATCAGATTATCTCAGACCTGCATTTCTAAAAATAATATGCTATCGCTCTAGGTTTTCTTTGTGGTAGAAAAAAGGTTATTTAAGCTTATAAGCTTCAAGTTATATATTTCATTTGAGAATGTGTCTTTCAATTTAAATGACTTTTACCTTGATCCAAAAGCATTAAATGTAAACAAAAAGAACACAAATATTTAGATAGTCTACAAGTGTAATTACAAAGTTTGACTCAGTAGTTATCAGTACTATTATTGAGAACTGTCTGAGCATCCTTTAAAAATACTGATGCTCACCTCTACTGTACATCTATTAAATTGGAATCTCTGAAGGACAGGACCAAGAATTTTTAGGATTCTTTGGGTGATTCTAGTGTGTAACCAAGGTTAAAAGCCACTTACTTAGATGCTTAATATCATTTTTAAGATAATAATACAATGAGCATTATGCTATGAAAATTAATTTTAATTCCTATTGAGTTTGATTCTCAGAGGCAACTTCCATTAAGTCTTCTTTTCTCTATATTATCAAAGTATAATGAGCATATACCTTTTAAGCAGATATACATAACATTTCCTTCTCTCTCTTTTTCTTGTTGGTTTATTTAATGTAAATGGAACCATCCTGTATCTGATGTTTTCAACTTTTCTTTCTCCACTCAACTGTGTCTTAAAGGCTGTCCCATATCAATACGTGTGTGTGTGTATGATTCTTTTCAATAGCTGTGGTTAATATTTTATTGAATAAATGGTTTTATTATTATTTCTTAGTTCTAACAACAAATGGCCAACAGGGTAAAAGACAAGGAACCATCGTAAGTGGTTAGTGTCCACACTAGTTCTGAAAGTATATTTAGACCAACGAATGAGGTTTTGGATCTCTGCTTATTTGATACAATTCAGTACCTCCACCTACACAATGGCAGCTGAACAAAGTTTAATTTTGCCCCAATTGAGGGAGGAAAAAAAGTAGTATAGCATTGAATTGTAGTGATCTGCACATCTACAAAATTTAACAAAAATTTTAATATATTTTAAGAATATTTGAAATACTTAAAATGTATTTATCTTTAAGCATATAGACAGACTAGTATGCCATTTGTGATTTTTAAACAATATGGGGGATTTTAACAATGTTTTTGTTATAAATTGAAAAGTATATTACTAAGAAAAAATAAATAATTTGACTTTAAGTAAACTTATATACATAAATATATGCACATACTTATACATACAATCTTTATCATGACATGAAATATTTTGATGCCAATGTACAATATTATGCCTTTAAAGTAACTATATAGATATGACATCTATGTAGTAAGAGCATATTTACATAATTTAAAAAATGTATCCAGGAAAACTTAATGGCCATTATGGTTTAGATGCAAGTGTGTTTTATAGATGGCTCCTTGATATATGTTAAGCTTTTTGAAATTATATTAACTGAGGTAACATTTAGCAAATTATTGATCTTTCTCCCTATTTCTCTCTTTACAATCACAAGTATTTTATATAGATACACAATTTTAAGCACGAGGCCCTCACTGAGATACTGGTCCTAAAGTATGAAGAATGAGCCACATGTTTCAAAAGTCTTTTCAAATTATTTTTCTGGGGTTTTATACTTAGTAGTTATAAGCATTATATGTGTGCATGCTCCGTTGTGTCTGATTTTTTGTGAGCCCATGAACTGTAGCCCACCAGGCTTCTCTGTCATAGAATTCTCCACGCAAGAGTACTGGAGTGGGTTGCCATTTGCTCCTCCAGGGGATCTTCCCTACCCAGGGATTGAACCCTGCGTCTCCTACATTGGCAGGCAGATTCTTTACCATTTTGCTACCTGGGAAGCCCAAGCATTATGTAGGCTTTCTTAAATAAATGCATTCCTGTCATTAAAAGTCTTAGAAAAGGCTGTGATTCTTTTAAAAAAAATTCTAATCATCCAAGAGCACTTTCACACTTTATTTGATTAGTGCAGATTTTCCCAAGCTTTAAAAAATATTAAATCAAGTTTGTTTTGAATGTATTAATAGACTTATACTATGGTCAAATGACCAAATTTTAGAACTACAACAACAACTATAACAAAATGAAGTGGGGGCTGTGAACAATGTATACTTTTCACAGATGTTATATCGCAACTATCATATTTCAGCTTCATACATTCTAAGGGAAGACAATTCACTTTCAAAGAACAGATATCCAAACCTTTAGTGTACTTTGAAGATACAACAACTTCCAAAGTGTGTTTTTAAAAAAAATTTACAAAAATATCATTTGAAAGTGTAATTATTGAAATTTCTTTTACATTTACTTAGCTTTCTATAATTTGAATATATTAAGTTTTTTTCAATCCTTCTAAAGGTTACAAAATTGAAGCAAAAATAAAATTTAAAATTATTTAAAATTTACAAAATTCAATTGTGTAAAAGAAATTCAAATAAACTTAGTTTGTAGCATCTCATGTTATTAAAGCTTAAAATTTCACTAAGCCTTTTGGGACATCTTGTATATTTTTCCTGGAAATGGTCAAAAGAGCAAAATTGTTTGACAGACACTACCCTTTGCTAAAATAGAATTGTATTAGATTAAATCTATTCTTGTGAACTTAAAAAAAAATTCATTTATTCACAAAAATGCTCACTGTATCAGACACTATTGTGGTTGTTACATGAGTTGTTTTCTCTTTCATTTTTAGAGACTGAGGAAAGGCCAGGTAACTTACAGGGCAGAGATGTGGCAGCAGCCTCAGGCGTCCCAGGGCACCCCGAGACAGGGGCTCCGGCCGGCAGCTGGGACACAGCGCACTGTTCATTCCCAGGGCCGAGGGAGGCTTCTGCCGAAGAAGTAAAATCTGTGGTGATGGCACTTAGAAAACAGAATTAAGCAGGCAGAGACCGAGAAGCATTTTGGAAGAAATTATATTTGTTGCCTCACAATTAGCCATGCATTAAAGAAGAAGAGATAAATGAGGGTGGGGGGGAAGGAACAGAAGGAGAAAGAGTTATGAAGCAGAGTTCAAAGAGCACCCACTTTTCTCTAATACTTCAGAAATCCTCTCATTTATATAGTTTGATATTATTTAATAAATGTCCATGTGAAACAGAATGGTGTTATTGATATTACTCTGGGTAAGACTTGAGAAAAATCATTACTAGTTACCTAATGATAGTGTTTTTAATCACAGAGGAAAGAATTCTATGTCAAAATCTTAAATTCCTAAGTATCACCTAAGGATTAATGATTCAGGAGCACTTGGGTGCCTCTTAGGTTTTCTGTATTTGTGAACATGAACTATAAAAATTAAGGAGTTATATTAAGCAATTTTTATACCTATCAAATTATCTCCATGTTAAAGTACTAACATAGTAATATTATATTTTTTATCATATTCATTTATATCTAACTAAGTCTAAGGAATAAGAAATTTTATGATACCTATAATAGCTACTAAATAGCTATTATTTAAAATACTAGGAAACAGTATTAGGCTGAATTTTTTTTTTTTTACTGGAATTTTACTTATTTGGAGAGAATCCAAAATAAAACCATATAACAATAAATATTTCACAGTAAATTTTTACCATTAGATTAGGACACTATGAATTCACACCTATGACAGCTGCATAAAGAATGATACTTTATACCTTCATATAAGTTTTCTTCTGAACACACCAAGGTACATTCTTAACTAAGATGTGTTGCTCCTCTGGGGGAGAAGGTTAATAAATGGCAACCTGACATTGCATAAGGAAAAGCAGGAGACCTATAGGAAAAGTACTCAGGGTACCATCACAGAATTAAAATTCTGATTGCTGTATTTCATGCTCTGAGCTTAGGAGGGGAATATTTTTCATTGCATACTATATAATGTGGGTGTTAGCCACTCGGTCGTGTCCGGCTCTTTGTGACTCCATGAACTGTAGCTACCAGGCTCCTCTGTCCATGGAATTTTCCATGCAAGATTACTGGAGTGAGTTGCCATTTCCTTCTCCAGGGGATCTTCCTGACCAGAGATTGAACCCATATCTCGCGCATTGCGGGCAGACTCTTTACCAACGGAGTTATTTACCAACGGAGTTATTTACCAATGGAGTTACCAGGGAAGCCCCTCCCTGGTGGGAAATGGAGTCAAAGAATCTGTATCTCCTTCATGTACAGAGCATTACAAATAGCTTCTGACTTCATTCCCCAACTCTACTGGAAGCTCTTTCTCAGTGATTACAAGATGAGGAATGGAGGTGTCATACCTGGGCTGGACAGGCCCTCAGAAGAGCTCACTTCTACACCACTGTTGGTAAGAACTGCAGGTACTGACTGCGTGGCTAGAGGACAGAAGAGACAACTTATAAGCAGGAAAATCACATTCCCCAGTGAAACAATTACTTACTAGCTTAACTTAGTGACATTTATATAATTCAGAAAGAGATAGCCCTAACCTCGTTAGAAACCACTTTTCTTGTCTAACTCTGATATAGCTAAATCTGGTTAGATTCCCAATCCTACATGTAGTCAATCCTGGAAAGACAGTATCTTTCTTAATAGACTCATAAATTATAATATGCTCATTTTAAGATCATGGCGCTGTATAGTTTTACATTTTGTTAGGTTGTAGATTTTTCAAAGGTGGTGAAAATAATCAGGGACTATCTAAGTATTACTGTTAAAATCAATTAAAAGTTAAGTTTAAGTACTATTATTATTTAATAAAAAGGCATGATTCATAACATAGCACAAATGTAATGCACATAGAAAACACAGCACAAATGTAATGTTAATAGAAAAATTAACATTACCAGTCACATGACTGTTCTCATCGCTTTGCAGCAGGACTGTTTTCGAGGGCGGGGAAGGTGCTTTTCGCTTTGTCCTTTTCAAAGATGAATTCCCAGCAGACGTGCTGCTGAGCTGCAGAGAACCCGTCCTCACCCTGCCTGCTCCATAGGAACTCTATAGAAAACAAAATGATCAAATGGAATCTCCATTCAAAAATGAACAGCAGGCTTTAGGAAGACACTGACCTTTCCATTCAAACACATCACATGCCAACATGGAGCTTAACAGTCAGAAAGCATTTACAGAGTATCTGCCATGTGCCAGAAATGGATATGTAAAGAAAAATAAAACATGGTCCTTCTCAAGAAAGTCAGGCTAGAATAGGAGGCAGGCATATAAACAACTAATTAAAATGTACATGAATCATAAAAACTAGCTTCCAAAGAAAAATCTAGAGGAAACTACTGGAGTAAAGTCAGAAGTGAAAAAGGGAAGAGTATTTGTACATTGAGACTGGCTTGATTAATCTTTCTCTTTTTAGCACAATACATCAATGACAAATATTTCAAAAATCTATATGTTTACCAAAGGCAAGGTCATCTGTGGTCCTTGACTCTATACACAGCTGACGCTCACACACATAGCATGTGACTGTCAGCAGGCTGGCCAGTGCCTCCTGGCCCATTGCCATGTCATCTTGCTCTTGCCCTTTACAACAAACCTGCTTAAAAGAGTTATTCATAATTTTTTTCTCCCATTTCTCATCTGCCACTTGAACCCCTCCAATCAGACTTCTCTCAATCTTTGATCCATTAAAACTATTCCTGTCTGTGAGATAATAGAAATACATAAAGGTCTCTGTCCCTGTTGCTGGCAGAGAGCTCCTAAAACCCTTGAACTTTCCTACGTGACAAGAACACTAGAATCATCTCTTCTTCTAATATTGGTCTTGGATCCTGGTTCCTGACACAGAGCTCCTGAAACCTTTGTGGTTTCCTGCATGATAAGAGTATCTTTTGTTGTAATGAGGCAACTCTGGCGGCCTCCTGAATGAGGGCTTGTCATGGGGAAGTCACAGTTAGAAGCCTGAAATTTTCAGCCCTGCCCTCACTATCTTGAGAAGGGAGAAGGGCTGAAAATGGAGTTAATGACTGATCATGCCTGTGTGCTGAGGCTGCCATGAAATCACAGAAGTATGGAGTTCAAAGGGCTTCCAGGTTGATACACATGTGGAGCTGCTGGGAGAGTGCCATACCTGGACAGGTCATTGCAAGCTCCATGCCTCTTCCCACATACCTTGTCCTATATGTCTCCTCCATCTACATGTTCACCTATATCCTCTATCATATCCCTTAAAAAACAGGTAAATATAGGCAAGTGTTTCCCTGAATTCTGTGAGCTGTTCTAGCAGATTAATTAAACCTGAGAAGGGGCTCAAAGGAACCTCTGATTTATAGCTAGTTGGTCAGAAGTATAGGTAACATCTTGGACTTGGGAATGGTATCTGAAGTTCAAGAAGAGGCTCACTAGAACCTCTAATCAACAGCTGGTTGGTCAGGGCTTGTGACTAGTGTCAGAAGTGTGTATGGGAAGGGAGAGGGCAGGCTTGTGGGATGGAACCCTTATCCTATGGAATCATGCTGTCTCTCGGTAGATGGGTCAGAATTGAGCTGAAAGCTGGTGTCTAAAAATTGCTTGGTGGTGTGGGGGAAAACCTCCACACATCTGGTGAGCAGAAGTGAAATGTGTTACGTGAGTAGCAGACAAGACTCAGGGAAGAAACACACAGTAGGACAGAACTGAGTTTTCCCTACATTGGTAGAAAACTGAGTTTTTACTTTATACTATGAAAGTCATCAATGACCTTCTCCTTGACTAAATCAGAGGTTACTTCTTAGAGCTCACTTATTGGACATATTAGCAGCATTACATAGCTGACCATCCTCTAAAGTTTCCTTTTTCTTACATCCAGAATACTATATCCTTATTCTGCATACATCTGAACTTTCTATTTCTGTGTGGGTTCCTTTTCTTCTAGTCCTTGGACATATTCTCTTTAATATCTATTCTCACTCTTGGTAATCTCCACTATCTCTAGGTTTTCTGTATTATTTATATTATTTACAGGTCTGGGACTCTGTATATATATTTTCTGTATTTACTTATATAAATAAATATTTATATATTTTCTGTATTATTTATATGTTGGTGATTCCAAACTATATCTCCATTCCTGGACCTCTGTCTGATCTTCATTTAGTGTCAAAGCCCGTTTCAAACTCAGCATGTCTAAAACTAAGATCCTGATAATCCCTCCTTTCATCTCCCCCATTAAAAATAATCCTGTTCTCACAGTCTTCCCTGTTTCAATAAAAAGCAAGTCGTTCTTCCATTTGTTTAGGCCAGAACTTGTGGAGTCCTGCTTCCTCATCCCCTGTCCACTGCAAGTCAAGTCCATCCTGTTGGCTCACCCAGTTCGATTGCTACCACAGAGTCCGAGTCACCACTAAGAACCTTCTACCTGGACCGCTTCTTCCACACTGCTTCCCTACAGTCCTTCCACAACATAGCAGCAAAGGCGCCTGTTAAAATGAAAATCAAGGGGCTTCCCTGGAGGCTCAGTGGTAAAGAATCTGCCTGGTCAAAGCATGAGACACCAGGTTCAATCCCTGATCTGGGAAGATCCCACATGCCAGGTAACAGCCAAGTCCGTGTGCCACGACTACTGAACCAGTGCTCTGGAGCCCATGAGCTGCAACCACTGAACCCATGTGCCACAACTACCAAAGCCCACATGCCTAGAGCCCATGCTCTGCAATAAGAGAAACCACTGCAATGAGAAGCCCACATTCAACCCAACTGGAAAAGGCCCATATGCAGCAACTGAAGACCCAGCACAGCCATTAATAAATCTTAAAAAAAAAAAATCAGGTGAAGGCACTTTGTTCAAAACTCCCTAGTAATTTCCCAAGTGATACAGAGAAGCCAAAGTCCTTGTAATGACTTCTAAGGTTATCAGTCACCCGGCACCTAGATCTTTCTGACCACCTCCTCCAAGCGTGGAGCAGAGTGAGCCACACTGGCCTTTGCGCTGTTCCTGGAATGTGCCAGGAGTGTTCTCACCTCGGGATGGTTGCCTTGCTCTTCCCTGTCCCTGGAATGATCTTTTTGTAACTTAACATTTTACCCTATCATTTTCTTCAGGTCTTTTCTCAAGTGTCACTTCCCAGTGAGCGCCTCCTTGACCCCCCCCCCACCCACCCACACTCACACACACACACGTCCCATCTCTCTTCCGAGCTTGATTAATGTGCTTGCGCTAAGTTGCTTCGGTCGTGTCTGACTCTTTGCAACCCTATGTTCCATAGCCTGCCAGGCTCCTCTGTCCATGGGATTCTCCAGGCAAGAAAACTGTAGTGGGTTGCCATTTCCTCCTCCAGGAGGTCTTCCCAACCCAGAGACTGAGCCCACATCTCTTGCGTATTCTGCATTGGCGGGTGGGTTCTTTCCCACTAGTGCCACTGGGGTATTTATTGTCAATGTTTCATCTTCCTCCAACAGACTGCAGGATTGGCCTGTTAACCTTGTTTATTGTTGCTTCCACCAGGTTTGACTCAGGGTAAGGATGTTTTTTCCTCCTATTTTGCTCACTGCTGTAACTCCAGAACAATATCTGGTTCATAGAAGTTTCTCAATAAATATTTGTTGAATGAATGAGAGAAATGAACCAAAAATTGCCTTCTTCATTTGTAAATAAAGGCTCTTGATAAACTTGAAGAGGATGTAAAGCTTGGGCCATCCCAATCTTATGAGACAATGTAAGTACAGCTAAGGAAAGCAGTCTAGTTCATAAGATGTTTCTTAGTCATTATGTTTTGCTACACACCACAAAAAGCTCAGCAAATTTACTCTTTTGAAATATTGTAATATTTCTGTCAGAGAAGGAAGAAAGCCTGCCCTCCCAGAGAAAATTTTGAGTCAGCTGTTGTCACTGCCAGCTCTGTTAGGTACCAAAGTGGAAGGCAGATCATCTCACAGGGACAGAAGCAGAGTCTGGTCCACAGTGGCAAGCACTTGGCGGAACACACCTCTCACTGAGGTTAAGGCATCTTAACCAGGGGTCAGACAGGGTGGCACCAGGCTGACCTTATCAGTAACTGAAACATTAGACTTCTGTACCAGTTGATAAATAGCTGCAACCATCAATCTCCGCTCCTCTCATTACTCTGGTCCCTTCTACAGAACCCTTTAGACATCTCCAAAATCCAGCATGAAATGAGTTAAAACCTGCCACCCAAATCCAGATTCTGATTCTGAGTCACTAAAGCCAATTCTGATTAAGTCAGAGGGTCACCCCCCCACCCCCCCACCCCCCCGCAACACACCTCACCTGGATGGGCATATGGGTGGGTCCTCACCCATATGCTGCTTGGACCTTTAAATAATTAGGAGAAAGGCCCTTGATGATAAAGAGATGAGAAAGGAATGTAGTGATGAATCAGCAGTATTTAAATATCATTTTGAGTAGAACATAAAGTTTAAATAAAAACCTTCTTATGATGATGTGTCTGTGTTTGGAAATGTTCACTTGCCATCATAAAAGTAACAAATTTAGGGATGGTTAGGAAGAAGGCCAAAAATTCTCTTAAAACAATGCGGCACTTCACTTTTTGAAACACTGATCTAAAATATCAAAAGCAGTAAAAATGTCATTTTATTTCTTGATGAGATTACTTCTGTAAAGCCCTATTCAAGTATGCCTCATTCCTATCACAGACCTAGTTTATCAGTAGAAACACAGTAGGTGATCAGTAAGTAACCAGTGAATGCATGAAGCCATGGCTGCATCTGATCCTCCTAATTCTACGCTGACACCACGTTTCCCATCTCTGGACTGATTGCTTTCACGTCATCTGAAAACAACTCGTGTTTCCCTTCAGGTCAAGTTCCCAGCCACAGTCATTTATTGGTCTTTTCTATGACCTGACAAAAGCAGTCACAACATGAATTTCTCAGACAACTATATCTGTTTAAGAGTTACAGCTCTTAAATTTTCATTATAATATAATAAAGCAGATAGCACAGAAATAAAAAAAGGGAGAAATGTATATACAGAGACTCACAAATTTATATGGACCTAATAACTCAAAGACAGAGTAAAAATAAACTCATGT